CCCCTTTCCATCTCACCCTCTCACGAGCTTTACATCATCCGTTCTTCTCCCCACTGCCAAGACAGGAGCCGACTGCGGCGACCGCCACGCCAAGGCCACCACCGCCACCTAGTTAATAGCGCAACGGGGACACGGTGCACCCAATCCGTGCCTCGAAGTAAGACGCGGCGCAACGAAGACACGGTGCACCCAATCCGTGCTTCGAAGTAAGACGCTCATATTCAACCCCACAGAGACAGGGTGCACCCAATCCCTGCTCTGTTGCAACCCTTCGGCTTCATGTACGGCCAAAACGGACCTCGCTACTCCCCCTACCCGGGGGGTCGCCACAATGGCCGGGGCGGCGGCCGCAGAGGGCGCGCTCCTGAGGCGGCTGGTGTTTACCTGGACCCCAACCTGAGCCCGGAAGACGCCGCTGCCGCCTTCGCGGAGGCCCAGCAGGCGCGAGCCGCCCAGCGCGACGCGGAGGCCCGCACGGCCGCCGTGTCGGCCGCCTTCAACGCGGCCAACGCCGCCTGCAACGCGCTCGCAAGCACCTTCGAGCTGACGGCGACGGCCCCGTTCCGGGCCATGCGGCTGCCGGGCGAGGACTCCTCCCCCGACCAGCTCACCCAGGCGGAGGCGACCCGCTTCTCGTCGGTGGTGATCCTCCAGCTGCACGGTATCTTCACCGACTGCGGCCTCTCCGGCCGTACCGGCTGCCTCCAGGACGCCGGCAACATGCTGTACCGTGTGGCCGACTGGGCGCAGCAGAGGGTCATAGCCGACGCAGCCAAGGCCGCGCAGCAGGCCGGGGAGCCGGTCTCTACGCAGCCGAGCGACCGCCAGCAGCAGTCGGCCGCGGCTGTGGCCCGCTTTAGCGTCGGCGGTGAGGGGGCCGGCGCGCTGCGCAGCATGCTTAAGGGCACCATCCTCCTCGCCGCCGCAGAGCTCCTCTCCGGCGGGCAGGCGGAGGGCTGCCCCGAGGCGGCCAAGCTGAGCGACGCGGTGGCGTTTTTCAACGGGTGGCACCCGTCCGACACCGAGGAGGAGCGCGCGCGCGTGAGGCGGCGCGACAACGAGATCAGCGAGCTCAAGGCGCTCCTGGCGGAGTCCGGCGCCACGCACGCCGCGCTCAGCGCGCAGCTCGCGGCGGCCAGCGCGCTGCTGGTACAGCACGGCGTTAACGAGGCCGCGCCCGACCTGCTGCAGCAGGGCCGCCGCCTCCAGGAGTCCTCACAGCAGTTTGCAGCGGCGCAGCAGCAGTGCGCGGCGGCACAGCAGCAGCTGGCTCAGCAGCAGCAAGCCACGGCGGCAGCGCACGCCGCCATCGCGGGGCTGCAGGAGCAGGTTAAGGCTGGTGCAGCAGAGCTGGCCCAGCAGCAGCGCGCTGTGGCAGAGGCGCAGGCTGCAGCCAATGGGATCCAGGAGCAGGTGAAGGCCAGGGCCGCGGAGCTGTGCAAGGCGAACGCGGCTGTGCAGGCGCTCGGGAGGGCGCTGGTGGAGCGGGGCATGAGCTCCGAGGAGGCGGAGGCCCTGGCGACTGGCGCTTACACTCAGCAGAACGGCGAGGCCGCAGCCCCGCCGAGCGCACAGTAGAGGTCACTCGCCCCCGCGCGCGGCGCCGCGCTTTAGCGGTGCCCCGCGTTTGCTCTCGCTCGCCGCCCAGTCCGGTTGAGTGAGGGGCCGTGCGCCTTGTGTGCCCGCCGCTGCTCGGTAAAAGCAGCATAAGTTCCCGCCTACGTTACCTTCTAGCTTATTAGTAGCCAGTGCCTTGGTATCACACACGTTTGGTGGTTTTGTTGTTCCCCTTTGGTGCGTTTGCTCCGTGCATCGCCTTGGTTGCCATTTGTTGAGTTCTGTTTTTATCTGGGTAAATAAGTATACACCACCTTGACACCTGTCTCTGTCACGACGGAGGGATCTGAACAGTCAGTGCGTGCGGGCGGCAGGCCCCTCACGCGAGCAGCAGCCCGCCAGCTGGGTAGAGAAGTGCCATCTAGCATCTTAGGTACCTATTTAACCAGGCCACGCCGTGTGCAGCAGTCCTACAGTGCCCCGGCCAGCCCTGCTGCCACAGTAGCGCTGATGACGGGTGACGGCCCCCCGGACGCGCCGCCAGCGGCTCCCGCGGTCACAGGCGTTGCGTTGGGCGCGGATGGCAGCGGGTCAGACACCTTCCTGTCTCCTCACCAGGGTGCAGCCGCGGCGTCGTCCCCCACCGCCTCTCAGTCTGCTGGGCAGACTCGCGCCCGGCCCGATCCCCTTGCTGAGCTGAGCATCATAATGCGGCAGATGCGAGATGAGATGAGATCATTCCGGGGCGACACCAGCAGGGACCTGCAGCGCATCCGCGAGGACCTCCTCGAGCTAGACCTGCGCGTGAGCACGCTTGAGCAGCGGCGCTCGCTGGCAAGCACCCCGACATCGCAACGGGCAGCACCCGCGGGCGCCCCGGCGCCCAGCCTCGACGCCCAGCGCGCCACCATGGTGCAGGCCATTGCCGCGCGGCGTCGTGCTGCCGCCGAAGCTGGGGGTGCCCTCGGTGCCGACGCCCCTGCCCCTAGCCCCGTAAGCCTCGCGCGAGCCGCGGCGCAGCGCCCGCGGCGCGAGAACGGCGAGTCCATCACCACGTCGCAGCTACTTGCAGGCAGCGACGCTAGCCCACGCGCCGCCGCCCGCGGCCTCCTACGCGTCGCGACGCGGCCGCAGGGTGGCTTTGGCCCCGGCTTCCCGCAGGGAGGCAGCAGCAGCAGCAGTGGTAGGCCGTATGGCCCGCCGCACACCTCAGAGCCCCACCCTCGGGAGCAACAGCCGCATCAGCGGCAGCAGCAGCAGCACGAGCCGTGGCGGCCGTTTGGCTCGGCCAGCGGGGGCCCACCCCTGGCGGAGCCGGGCCTCAGCGGCGGCTGCGCGGCCCCGCCTGGCATGTCCCAGGCCCGCACCCACTGGATGACCGCGGCCGCCGCCTTCGGTCATGACCGGCCGCCGCCCCGCGAATGGCGTCCGGACCCCAACTTCCCGTGGACAGAGGGGGAGATTGCGCACCCCCCGGGCTTCGACCCGGCAGTGCAGCCAGCCTCCCACAACCAGGGCCTGAAGGCCCATCAGCCCCACCTGCGTCTGAACATGTACGGGTATGAGTTGCGCAAACTCCTCACCGCCCTTCAGACGTATGTGAGCACTCAGGTGCAGAACCGCCCGTCCACAGTCGGCGGGGCGTTGCAGCATGCGCTCACCTGCTTCGAGGGCGACGATCAGACGCACGTGAGCGGGCACATGCCCCTCATCACGGGCGACCTCATGTACGCGCTCCCCCCGCGCCAGCGCTTCGCGGGCGTTTACTTGCACCCCGGCCAGGCGGACCAGGTCGGGGCTGTCATCGCCTACAGCGTGCGTTCGCACCTGTACGACAAGCAGCCCGAGCGCGATGTGGCCGTCCTGCGCGCTATGCGCCAGGGGAAGGATTCCCTCACGTGCTCGAAAGTGGACAGGAACGAGCCGCCCAGCGAGGCCCTGGAACGGTTCATGATGCTCGCCCGTGACCACCGCGTCCAGTCCCGCGTTTCAGTGACGGAGATGCTCAACCTCATCAGCGCCATGCTGCACGAGCACCTCAACCAGGACTGGCGCCTGATCCGGCAGATGCACATGAGCGGGCGCGTGGCGACCGGCAATAGCCACGCCGCCATGCTGTACGCGCTCGAGACAGAGGCCAAGCACATCCTGGATGAGGCATGGGACGCTTACCTTGCCCGCCTCCCCGAGAGTGGCAAGCGCACCCAGCAGGAGCCTGAGCCCGCCGCGACCGCCGTCTCCCGGCGCCTGCGCGGCCTTCGCCCGGCCCCGGCGGCAGCCGCCGCCACGCTCGCGGAAGAGGACGACAGCGAGGACCCCGCCACTGACGCGGTGGCGGCCGCTCTGGCGGCCCTGGCCGCGGCTGCGGCAGTGCCGGCAAACCGCCAGCGCCTGAACGGGATTCTTGCGGCGGCGGCCGGCGCCGGCCCCGCCCCGCCGCCCGCTGTCGCGGCACCAACGGGAGCGGCCGTTCAGCGCGCGTCCACGCGTGCCGCTCGCCCTGCAGGCCAGGCGTCGGATCGCGTGTGCTTCCGGTGCCAGCAGCCCGGGCACCTTGCCCGCGAGTGCCCGCAAGCAGCGAGGGCCAACGCAGCAGCCGACGGCGCCACGTCGAGCGATGACGAGCAGCCAGGCGTGGCTAGCTACGCGGCCGCCCCTGCGTACGACTATGACGAGGGGCCTTTTGAGGACGAGGGGGTCGCCGGCTGCACCGTGGCCCTGGAGGAGGTGCCCTCTGACGTCACCGCGACCGCCGCCGCCGATCCGGACTCTGGGCCACAGCAGGAGGCGGCTGCTAACGCCCGCGCCACCTACAACGGCCAGCGCCTCCCCGTCGGGTTCTGCCC